TGACATATGTTGTCAAGGTCATGACCCTGAGTAACCTCCACCAAGTTTTAGCCGTCGCTCGTCCTTCGTTAAAAAGTTATTAACAAAAGAAGTTTAAAAAATAACGTATTATTTCTAATATTATTCAACTTTCAATTGATAGAGAGGGTATGATTTATTTTATCATTTTTTCTTGCCATGGCATTGCACCAGTACTATTAAAGTAAGCATACCATTCATCTCGCAAACGAATAGCAGCATTGCTGTGACGATTTCCTCCTTGATGAACAAAATTAGCCATTCCACCTACTGATTCCTCCCTCCATTCTCCAGGTCTTACTACTCCACTATATACATCTTCAGTGTCCAGCATGCTTTCAGACGTATATAAAAGTCTTCCTATTTTTTGTAATCTCAGAAAATTATATAAGGCACAGCAACATTGAGTAATGAGAGTTGCAACGTCAGGATCGTATCGCATAGAAGATCGAAATATTTGAAACCTTGCACTGCATACGCCAAAACCATTCTCTGAGGTCCGACGGGCACGAGATAATCTGAAAAAAATGTCAATACTATCAATACTACAACAAATACATTTTTTTTTAAATTTAGTATACGAGAAAATTTTTTTAATCTTTACCTATAATTAAAAATGCTTTTGTCCTTCCGACCACTACATTGAATTCCAGGATATGGAATAAGCAATTTTGTTGATAAAGGAAATCCCTCATCGCCAATCAACACAAATGGAAAAGAAACATTTGAATTAGGAAGAGAGGATGCTTTTTATATATACAAGACAATCGCCAAACTATCACGTGATTAAATCTTATATTTCTATTGGTTATGATTTTGAGTCGCTGACTTGAAAAATAGACTCGAATCTAAATGCAAGTTGGCCGATCCAATCAGTCAGCGCCTCACTGTGATTGGTCCGCTGAGGATCAGCAGTCAGAGTCGGCAGTCGGGTCGGCTTGCAGAGTCGGTAGTCTGATACGGGGTTTACGTCTAAGAGCGCCTTAGTTACCTCAGTACGCTCCTAAGCGTCGAGCGGCATTTGGACTGTGCGTGGGGCGATGAGGTGAGGGGGACAGCGGAAAGCGGAGCCGATTCGAAAATCGGCCGAAAGTATTATTGCAGACATTCATCTATTTCTTAAGAATTGTTTAATAGCTTCAATGTTACACAAGTAATAACGTAAAATATTTAATAGAGAACACTTTCAAAGCGTTCAGAATTGCACAAATATCAGATCATCAAAACTCGGTGAAAAATCATCGCAGACAAAGTTTAAAAAAAAAAGTTTTAAAGCTTGAAACTTGTATTGTAACATGCTTTCGGCTGTTTTTCACAAAATTTTTATGTTTATGATTCCGTATCTTAACAAAGATCACATTGTTATACAGGGTGTCCCAAAAAGGTCGGGACACCTAAATATCTTGGGAAATATAAGTTTTACAGAAAAGTGTTTCAGACAAAAGTTATATGGTTCAAAAATATCTATTTACTGATCCTACCAGTTTGACCTTGGGTTGCGTAGCCAAGGTCAGGTCAA